CCTTCTTTAGCGTATCCTTAAACTGGATGACGAATACGCGGACACCAAGTCGACTCTGGAGAACCACATCAATGAGCTGTCCGGTCTCGTGCGAATTCTTCAGACTAAAAACCAAAATGCCGTTGATCACGGTAAATTTCTTTCCGTTTTTTACCACCTTCTTCTTACGTGTGTTTTCCCCCTGCAAATACGAAAGTTTCTGTCCAAGAAGCAGGCTTTTGACTTTTGATCGGGGATTCTGGCTCTGTATACCGTCACATTGAGACTGGACGGACTGAAAATTCTGATTAACCCTTCAGCTAGTTGAAATTTCTTAACTGAGAATGCAAAAACAATTGGCATGGAACCTCACCCAAGTGTAATTCATGCCTGACAACATGTTAATCTTTAGTGGAAGAAAATGCTTCTGGGCATCTTCGTAAATTACGCTTAAGAAAAAAACACAACTCCGATGGTGTAAAATATCTTCATTTATTTGCAGTTGGTAGTTTTATTTCTCCAAAAATTGCAAAAAGAGAGATTTTGTGTTCACATAGTGTAAATTACCTTCAACTTAAATTTTATACTTGAAAATTTGCGTTTTAGTTTGAGGCTTTATAGCATGAGTGAGTTGAAGCACCATAGTACCTATTTGTGTGCTCCATTGCTAACCAATCTGCCAATTGTATTTCCAGGGTGGTACATTGATCAATGGCCAGAATAAAATCTGACGCACACCACCATGACTCCTCGTAGTAAGGTGAAAAAGTCTGTGCATTTGTTCTAGAGAAGGCCATATTGTGTAGTTTGCAGAACGTTACAAAACGAATTTTTCTTTCCAAAACGCCGGGACTTACTACACTTTTAGCGGACAAATTATTTACTATACGCAAGAAACGTGGACGAAAACTCTTTTCTGCAAAATAAACACACCGCTTTCTATTTATCATTTTTTAATAAGACACCTGATTGTGCTGTAGCTAACAGATTCACGTAATGAAAACGAACACACCCCTTCTCCCAAGCGGGATTTGTGAAGGGGCTTGAAATGATGTTCATCCCACGAACCAATATGTCCCCGTGTGCAAAGGTTATTTTGATTGTACAGTAGTCGCCGGTTATTAAGCCCACCTCGGGCCCAGACCAAATTGAGCTTAATAAGCGGCTGGGCCTATTAACCGTGGGCTTAATACAGTAGTCGCCGATTATTAAGCCCACCTTGGGCCCAGACCAAATTGGGCTTAATAAGCAGCTAGGCCTATTAACCGTGGGCTTAATAACCGGCGACTACTGTATTGCAGAGTAATCATTCCCGCAATATCCCAGACAATATTTTCCATCTATGATGTTCAAGGGTCTCAGCGGGTGCTTTTGCGAGTTTCGGCTCGTGTTTCAGAGCTGCGTTTATTAAATCAAACCCGTTAAATTCAACAACCGATCATTATGCGCACGCTGTTTATGTAGGAGGATAATTATCTCTCACCCCCTCCACCTAAAATGAGGGCTTGTTGCTTAAGTTTCTAAGTTTTTCTATCCAAGGTGGGTAAAGTTGTAATTGATTGCCTCTTTATTGCATAGCATCAAATTTCACTCTTCAAAGTACTTCTGTTTCAAAGAAGAATTAGCTGACTGTTTTCTCCTCCAATTTAACACCGGAATATGTTTGTTGGACACATTTGCTATTAACGCGACATCCTTCTCATTAACCGATTCCAGACTTCTGGTCATGCTGTATTGTCCGCTGATAGACCCAGCACTTGTTGGCAGGGTGCAGTACCTGCCCTATAATATAACCCCGCATTTTATCTACAAGCAGACTCTAGTCGGACTTATCGGGGACTAGTAGCGTTTGGAGTAGCGATTTTCCATTAAAAGAACAGTATTCTTGCATTGACTGAGCAGGTTGTTCTCCTGGCTAGTTGAGCAGGCTGCTCCGGCCACTCGCCACTCGTCAGCTAAATTTTAATCTGTGGTTATCTCATCCAGTGGCTTTAAGGGGAAGTTTGACATTTTTACCGGTAGGTGCTCTGCCAAGGAAACGTAGTAGATTACTGAATTTTCTATTTGGAAAGCGAAATCAATCCTTTTTCTCTTAAGAGTGTGTTCTGAGAACCGAAAATATTTGCCAAATTCCCTTCCTAAACAGTGAGCCCCGCGAATGTCAGAGAAGACGAAGCGGAGGTCAAGTCCTCCTAAGCCTTGAAGACTGGACTTGCATCTTTCCATCACACGCGTGAACACTACGCCCCAGTTTTTATCTGAGCTGTCTTAAAAGGCACCTGTCCGGCTTGATTAATTATCCCGTACAATTAATTAGTGACACTTGATGATGATAGTGCAATATTTCGTGAGTGGAAACCCACTGAGAGTCGAGACTTGGTTTTTTT